TCTCAAGAACATCTCCACAAATGAAGTCATTCTCACTGGGAAGAGAATCAGAAACATCTATGAAGTGATATGGAACGATGTCAAGGAAGCATGTCTAATCAGCAAAGGTGACACTAACCTTCTATGGCTTTGGCATAAGAGGTTGAGTCATCTCAACTTCAAAACTCTCAACAAGCTATCCAAAGAAGGGTTAGTAGAAGGCCTTCCCAAAGCTGTATTCAGGAAGGAAAGCATTTGTGATGCGTGCCAGAAAGGAAAGCAAGTCAAATCTACTTTCAAGGCAAAACTGGCACTCTCAACTACAAGGATATTAAGTCTTATCCACATGGACCTATTTGGCCCTGTTACACCAATAAGTCTAAGTCGAAAAAAATATGTCCTGGTGGTAGTTGATGATTACTCAAGATACACGTGGAAAATCTTCCTCAACAGCAAGAAGGAGACTCAAGGGAAACTCACCAACTGCATGAAGCTGATTCAAAACCAAGCAAGTCAGACCATTCAGAAGATCAGATCTGACAAAGGCACGGAATTCCTGAATGAAATCATCATTCATTATTGTGAAGAAAACGGAATTCTTCATCAGACATCCGCAGCAAGGACGCCTCAACAGAATGGTGTAGCGGAAAGAAGGAACAGAACCCTAAAGGAAACAGTGAGAACAATGCTAGCAGAAGCTTCCTTACCAAAGAGGTTCTGGGCTGAAGATGTTAGCACGGCTTGCTATACTCAAAATAGGAGTATGATTTATAAAAGGCACAACAAAACTCCCTATGAACTATGGAACGGGAGAAAGCCTAATATATCATATTTCCATATTTTTGGGAGCAAGTGCTTTGTGTTAAACAACGGGAAGAATCATCTGAACACTTTTGATGAGAACTCAGATAAAGCCATCTTCCTTGGATACTCTATGGTGAGCAAGGCATTCAGAGTTTTTAACAAAAGAACCATGATCACAGAGGAGTCAATACATGTTATTTTTGATGAAAAATATGTGGTTGACAAGACATCAAAGCATGATCATGAAGTTCTGGATCTATCTGACAAGGATGAAAAAGTCAATGAAGGAGATAGAATGAAGCCTACGGAATTCATTCCATTCAAAAGTCTACCACTGAAGACTTCACAGAGAAATCCAGATTCAAACAGTGCTGAGCCTACCGGAAATCTTGGCCAGCCTTCCAATATTCCGGATCACTCAAACGGCGACAATTCCAGAAATGGCGACCCAGTGCCAATCCATCCGGAAACACCAACTTTTGTTCTTCAACCAGAAGCTGAACTAGATCAACCAGTCAATCCTAATCAACACAATCTTCGTTGGTTAAGGGATCATCCTCCCCAACAAGTCATTGGAGATATTCAATCTGGCATTCGCACAAGAAGTGCTCAACAAAATCTAGAAACTATGCTTGCTTGTTTCATCTCACAAGTGGAACCAAAGAATATTGAAGAAGCTCTAGCTGATTCTGATTGGATCAATGCAATGCAAGAAGAACTCAACCAATTTTCCAGAAATAACGTCTGGAAACTTGATCCCAGACCTACTCATCAACATGTCATTGGGACAAAGTGGGTCTTCCGGAACAAAATGGATGTAAACGGTATTGTTATCAGAAACAAAGCCCGGTTGGTTGCCAAAGGTTATTGTCAAGAAGAAGGTATAGATTTTGATGAAACCTTCGCTCTAGTTGCTAGACTTGAAGCTATAAGGCTATTTCTAGCCTTTTCTGCTCATAAGCATTTCAAAGTCTATCAAATGGATGTCAAAAGTGCATTTCTCAACGGAAACCTCGAGGAAGAAGTTTATGTGGAACAACCTCCAGGATTTGAGTTACACACTAAGGGAGATCAAGTGTATAGACTCAAAAAGGCGTTGTATGGACTCAAACAAGCTCCGAGAGCTTGGTATGATACATTGTCTCAATTTCTTATAAACAATGGATTTATCAAAGGAGTCATTGACAAGACATTGTTCAAACTACAAGACGGAGAAGATCTCCTGTTAGTCCAAATCTATGTGGACGACATCATATTTGGCTCAACTAAAGAATATCTCTGCACCAAGTTCTCAACCCTCATGCAAGAAAAATTTGAGATGAGCATGATGGGGGAACTCAACTACTTCCTTGGCCTTCAAGTCAAACAGAGAAGTGAAGGGACTCTCATTAACCAAGCCAAGTACACAAGGGATCTTATCAAGAAATTCAAAGTTGACCAGAAGTCATCCGTCTCTGTCCCCATGAGTACATCCACCAAGCTTGATATGGATGTAGATGGAAAGGATGTAGATCAAACTCTCTACAGAGGAATTGTTGGATCTCTACTCTACCTTACTGCTAGTCGTCCGGATATCTCATATGCAGTAGGTGTTTGTGCCAGATTCCAGTCAAAGCCAAAGGAAAGTCATCTGATAGCAGCTAAAAGAATCCTTAGATACCTCAAAGGAACTCAGAACATGGGTTTGTGGTATGATAAGAGCAATTCATTTGAGTTAGTGGGATACTCAGATTCTGACTTTGCCGGATGCAAAGTTGACCGGAAAAGTACATCTAGTACTTGTCAATTCATTGGTGGAAATCTTGTTTCTTGGTTCAGTAAGAAACAAAACTCCATTTCTACATCTACAGCAGAAGCAGAGTACATTGCTGCTGGTAGTTGTTGTGCTCAAATTCTGTGGCTGAAGCAACAACTACTGGACTATGGAGTCAAGACAAAGGAAGTGACAATCTTTTGTGACAATCAAAGTGCTATAGCCATCTCACAAAATCCAGTGCATCATTCTCGCACTAAGCACATTGATGTCAAGCATCACTTCATCAGAGA